CGTGCCGTGTGAATTAGCTCGGGGGCAAAAGGTGACACCATCCACCACGCGACGGCGTTTTGCCACCTTCTCGCTTATATAATCGAGAGGCTCATTTATGGGTGACTTTTCGATCCCACCAGTTTTCACCCGACCAGCAAATTAATGATTTCGACTTTTTCCCCTTCTTTTTTCCTCTTATCATCTCAGAGATGTCAATGGACTGAAAGCCACCTCGTTGAGAAAGGGGGCTGAAAACCAAATATCAGCCCCTTGCCGCCAAGACTGGGTCGGTGAAAGATCCACTTTGTATCAAGATAGTGGCATGTAAGGAGAAGACGACGAAATTTTCACCCACCAGGACGAACGAGAGCCCACGAAAGGAAAAGGGCAGAACCCATCGCAGGGAGGGGGATTCTATGTTCTACACTCGTTTCTTTCATTCCATCAAAATCCTTAGCACTAGCCCCGGCCCAGGACCTGTCGTTATCGCTATAGTCTTCATCAACCTCGACCACCCGTGACGCCACCGCTCTCAACAAAAATCATCAACTATACCTACATCCTCCCCGATCCACATCACTCCTCGTCATCCTTTTCCTTCTGCGACGAAAAAAGCAACAAGATAAATGTGTTCCGAGCGTCATCGCAAGTGGCAATGCCACCACACCGCACTACTCGACGTCCTCCGCTGTACAAGCTGCAACCATCTCAAGGGACCATGTAGGGGACCGACACCAACAAATAGGCAATGGATGGAGATAAACGACGTCTGCGACGATTGTAAAAGCAGGACATTGGACGCCCGGCGATTAGCCGAGTTTAATCAAGACAGTGGAGAAGATGAGAGGGAGAGGAGGAGGACGTGTGTTGTTGTCAGTTGATTAAGACTGTTTCGAAACACTGGTCCGGCACAGGTTATTTATCCGACCCGAGTATATGAGAGGGACGGATACTACTGTAGACAAAACCAAAGGTCAAGGTACTCAGAATGCATTACATTACCTACTTCCCCATTCACCCACCCTTGCCGCATGTACTAGGTATCTACTGATCAGTCATCGGATTCATCTTGGCTGTTAATTATACATGTCGAAATCCACCTGTGATAGGATCATCATAGAAGACATGCACATTATCAATCACGTAGTCCAAACACTAACCTCGGTGGAGTAATCAATACTGCGTTTACTTACGCATATATTATAGGGTATAATCGATGGACGGCACCGTGCCAAAGGTAAGGTAGGTACTGTTGTATAAGTGGCTACCCAACGGGAAGACGAGAATCCACTTCCCCCCAAGCCATCGTGTCGCAACGCCACGAGCTCGCATCACCCATGCTTCCAACCGCCGAATTCGGTACCCTCCTCGCATAGGGCTGAATCTCTGCCGCTACGGCCGCCGAAATGCCGTTAATAGTTGACCCATCCTACCCAGCACATAACCGATATGTCCACCTCACATCGGACAGTTTAAGCATTCGTCGTCCATGCACGAGCACAGGCCTTGCCACATGTAGACGCAGCTACTCAAGCATTCGTCGCAAAGGTCTTGGGCGCAATTATATGAGTCCTGGCCGATAATAGCATAGGGAGTGTCGGACTAATAACGCGGATGTGTTAGTCCTAACTTCCACTTTTCAAGTTATACTAGGTGGGAAAAACTGTGCCCACCTTGACGGGTGCCACCGGTATGGCCACTGCAGCCATTATAGCCATGCAAATAAGAACAAGCTCCATTTTGTGGGGGCAGAGTATGAAGTCGGCTTATCGGTTTCGTGGAGACTAATCGCTTGGGGAGTTTCAGCTGAGGTATACAATATTATGCGCCGATATTGGGATTAAGTCTGTTCGATGATGTTTGGGGGAATGGCACCAAGTATGATGGAGAAAAGACATCGATGCGTTCATGTTGGAAGAACAAGTCCCCAATCTTGCAAGAAGTCAGGTTAGGTATTAGCCGTGACTCCAGATGTGTTTGCATGGAAGCTACATAAGTCATTATGGCGGCCCGCAGTTGCCTAACCTTCAAAAGGGGGGTTAAAGCAGGTACACCCGGGTCTAAAATGCCGCGAAAGTTCGATAGGTCTTGAGAAGTAGCTACTCGGTTAGCAATGGAAGTCGGCCTCAACTTAAATAACGGTGAAGGAGGGTCCAATGTAGGTAACGTACATTAGGTAGTCACTGCCATCCCCCCAAATATTAGAAGTTACCTAACGGGTGTCGAACCATAGGACCACTTAGGGTTCATGAGATTGGCAGGTATTACCTACCGCTTAAGTGTTGGCAGCCACGTACACAGAAGTGCTCACTCATTGGGAAGAAAAAGATCTGTAACAACCGAGTATCCCCTCCCTTTTCTCCATCCACCAAATCTATGCCACAGTAAGAAAGTTGCAGCCAACGGACCACACGAAAACATTATGCGGATGCAGCTTAGCAAGACTATTGCAGCTTACCAAGTACTATACACTACCACAGATCCGCGGCGTCTGCCACATCGTAGACTGGCCTTATCCTAAGAGAAGAAACCTAGCATGGGAATAAGGAGGCCTCGGCCAGAGAACTCCCCATCCGGGTTAGTTCTATGTCTCCTGTTCGACGCCCATGAAGGTTATTGGACCGTAATACCCGCTTAGGGGTGGATAGCCTGTCCTCGCCACCTCTAGCTACCTACTGTATACACTCCAAAAGGTCCAGAAGACTGACAGCTCGGTTCTTACCATGATGAGAAATAGCAAAGTGGATGTGACAACTCATCCAAGGTCGACAAGGCTCCATATCACTCTTACAAAGCGTTCTACCAAGATATCAGTATCACAACTAGCACACCTCAGAGTCCGCCCTCTTACATATACTTCACGCTTGTCATGATTAAGGTACCCCTATACGACTAGAAGGGTTTTCAAGTTCCCACTCTCCTATCACCGATACAACATAAACACCGCCTCGGCGCCTCCACATTCTTCCAGGTGAATCTCTTCATATGTCCAGCAGTTCAGGTAAGCTTCTGACCAAGGAAGAATAATCAAGTCCGATTCTACTAACTCTTCATTCTGTGATACTAAAAAAACAAGGACTGTACTAGATATTCCATGATGCAACGAGGTTGACTGACATATCATGACCAACACAGATGATAACTAAGCATTAATCAGTCCGCATTCACCTATCCACTAATATCCATTTATAAAGTGAACCAGATCTGGCAATACCAACCTAATTTAGGCCATGCCAAGCCATTTGTCAGATGATGACTGATGTATTTACTCCATGCAGGGTCCATCGCCTATCACCGATTGGAGAACTGTATCGCAAGCAAATTCCAGCCCAGGCCAGAAGCGTTCTTGAGGTCCCACTAGAAATGCATTGTGCAACGCCTACTGGAACTGTACGACGCCAAGGATATCATGGGCTACGATGCATCATGTAAGTAAAGTAAGTAAGAAAAAGACGGCGAGTAGGTACCTTGAGAGGTCATATTACTGAAATAGGATAAACGATGTAGTTGAAGAAAAGTCGACAAAACTTTTAGCCTTGGCGATATGCCGAGAATGAGACTACGAGAATAGCAAAGTAGGGGATATATAACATGAAGCAAAACGCCCACGAGGAAAGATATGAAGGACAGAACTTCCATCACGCCCGACAACAACAACAACAACAACAACAACAGCAGCAGCAGCAACAATCACATCGCCTTCATCTATCACATTTCAAGACCAAGTTTTGCGCCCCTTTTTCGGAACCATTCAGGCTCTACTAGCTCTATTAACAGCATCGTATCAACGATCCTTGACCAAAATGGGAGGCTACACCTACGAAAGACTTAACAAGGCCGATACTGTAAGATACGACCCCCTCCCCATCCACCGTCTTCCCTCACTAAATTCTGTCGGCAGGTCTTGCTCATCGTAGACATGCAAGAAGGTCTCTTCAGCATGGTCCGAGACTACGACTCGGCTCTATACCGCAATGCCATGTATGCTCATGCCGAGCTAGGCAAGGCCTTTGGTCTCCCCGTCATCATGACCACTTCTACTGAGCAGGGTAAGTCCCTACTATTCCCTTCCCCATCTGTGTGGCAAAAGCTAACTGGCAGCTTCAAGGTCCCAATGGGCCAATGCCCAATGAACTCGCAAACATGTACCCCGACGCCAAGATCGTTCGGCGTAACGGCGAGGTCAACGCCTGGGATAACGCCGAATTCAGAGCTGCTGTTGAAGCCACTGGGAAATCTCAAGTAATCCTAGCTGGGATCGTGACTGATGTTTGTAAGACGATGCCCTCTTCTCCTTTCCCCTTTCCACCCACCATACATACAGTCCTAACATTCCCCCCTAAAAAGGCACGACATTCTGCGCCCTCTCCCTCCGCGAAGCCGGATACAGCGTCTGGGCCAACCACGAAGCATCCGGCACGACAACCGTCGACATCCGCGAGCAAGCCAACGAGCGAATGCGTAGCGCCGGCGTCCACGTGGTCTCCTATTTCGCTATCATTGGCGAGTTGATGCGTGATTGGCGCAATGTTCCCGGTTCCGCCGAATTGCTTCCTCTTCTCGATCGCTTTTTCCCTGCCTATGGCATGTTGGCGAGGGGACATCTGGCTGCGATCCAGAAGGGTGAGGTTTTGCCTGGTCAGGAGTCGCTTCCTTAGATATGTCTGTACTTACTTAGGAACTGCTGAACTTTGGTTGAAGCATAGGGTGAGTGTTCAGCTTTGAGAAAAGGGAAGTTGGAAGACGGCGGGATATGATGGGATTAGAAACATAGATAGAAAAATGAGAAGATTTGAGTTTCCTCCGCACACGGTTCCCAACCTTTATAATTGTTCATGCCTTTTCAGCTTTTAGTAACAACTACTTACAAAAGAAGGATCGATCAGATACAATAGGGTTAGTTGTTGGGCACATTACTCTATTTACAGTCTCACCGCCAGGCCTTTTGCACTCTCAAATAAACAAACAAACCCAACCCCTAATCGTCCAAAAAAAGAAGAACTCCAACAACAACAGATCTCCGAATCGGGGAATCGAACCCCGGGCTTGACGGCACACGAAAATAGTGAGTGAGAGCGTCAAATGTTAGCCACTACACCAATTCGGATGTTCAATAAATGTTATTTTGCCCACTAGCGGAATCGAACCGCTGATCTTGTCATGACATCTAGAGCAAGTACTAGTGACACGCTATACCACTTAGCCAAGCGGGCTTTGCCAAGACGAATGCTTGATTGATGAAATTTTGGCTAGGTAAGAAGGTTTTTGTCGTGGGGTAGGGTTTGAATGTTTTGGCAAAGATGTCGGGATTATTTACACACTCGACTTGTTGTAAGGGCGGCGAGTAAACTAAAGGTATACTGATATATTGTCATCGCCGATGATATAACACGCTCTACTACATAAATACCTAAATCAGAGGACAGCAAGCTTCTCATTGGACATCTCAATACAGCGACCAGAAAGATCGGGCTCTTTCACATCACGATCAAACGGCCACATAGGCCGAACAATACGCTTATGTCCAAGCCTCACCAAATCCTGATCGACGCCACCGGGCGTGAGACCCAACATCCAGTCCTTGGCCATATCATGGAGCTCCGGCTCCAGATATCCTATCTTGACAATGACGATATCCGCGGATCTGGGCTGGAGATCAAGCTCGGTGAAGTCGCGTTCGAGATGATAGGGCTTTCTTAGTTTGGTGAGAATGGCATAGACAGATCCCACCTTTAATACCACTTCAATGGAAGCGTGGCGGTCTCCATGTTTGATGGCATGTACTCTGCCAGTCATAGTCAGTGGACCGGCATGGATATTGTCAACTTCAGCACCAGCAGTGACGGTGACAATGGCCCCGATTCCTGCCTCGACTGCTTTTCGTACTGCTCCTGGGCCGGGCACACTGGCATAGATGATAGTGGGACCGCTGTCATCTTTGAATTCCGGCCGTGATAGTAGCTGCGTTATACCCCACGTGACATCCCCTGAACCACCAGCTGTGGGATTATCCCCCGAATCCGATATGAAGAAGGGCCGATCCGCGGATAAAAGTGCTGCATCGAGGCATTCCCCAAAGGTTCCTGTGGGCGCAACAAAGTTGAACTCTTTGTGAGAATGCCAAAACGTCCGAGCCAGTTTCTCCGCCCCCTTTTCAGCTGCCTCCTTGACCCATCCGGTCACAACTACGACGGCCCGATTCCTGGGTTCATCCGCCCAAGCATACCCAACCCAAATAGACGCGTCGAGCACGCCCTCACTAGCCTCTACTTCGGGGACAGCAGCATAAATATGCTTGGCGGGCTCATCCCTCGTAGACGTCTGCTCGCCTGGAAGTAAGACGGGTAGAGGTATCCAAGCCTTGAAAGGTCTAAAGGGCAAAGCATTCCTCCTTCTATCAATCAAACCGATCAAGTTCCTACAAGCCCTTTCCCTCGTTTCCATCACATCAACATGTGGCGCCGTGCGATAGCAGGTAATAAGATCCGTCTGATGCGCCAACTCCCTGGACACATTTCCATGCAAGTCCATAGAAGCCGAAACAAGGACATCCGACCCGATGACTTGGCGGCAGCGTCTAAGGAGCTCGTACTCGGCATCATCCAATCCCTCGACGCACATGGCGCCGTGGATATCAAACCACATCCCGTCAAGTCCCGTATCGTCAATATCTCTGAGACGGGCTACGATCTCGGCCGAGAGGCTCTCGAATGCTTCACGGGTCACGATCCCACCTGGAAGCGCATGGCCGATCAGGACGCCGCGCCAGTCGGCTGCTTCACCTAGCGGAGAGCCGGGTTGGATGAAGGGGTATTTCTCGATGATCTCGTCGCCTCTGCGGGGTTGGAATGCCGGTGCTTCGGTCCTCGAGGCGGAGAAGGTCGATGTTTCACAGGCTAGGCCGGCTATGGCGATTACTGGGCGATTAGGCATTTTGACTTGTTCTTTACTGTTTACTTTTTAGTCAATTATCCCTCCAGGTGAGAGAGAAGTCGGTGTTCGCCCTTCCCCTTCCCGTACCTGGAAAGGTTACCTGTGGGGTAAGATACAGTGGAAGCTTGGGTGGAGTCTATCCGTAACGCCGAAATCCATATTACCTGTCGAAATAGAGGTTTGAGCTTCATCTCGGATGCCTCTGCTGGTATTTGGTGATGATTTTTCAACCTTGACATCTTACATCTTCTTTTTTGTCTTCTTTTGGGTATCCCCATCATAATCACATTCTTAGCAGTCCTTTGTGCACTTCAATCCACGCTCAAGAGCAGTACCGTACGCAACCTAACACGAACCTCAACACAAGTAATGGCTGTCAGGATGTTGAGAATACAGGTTTCGTGAGTTTTTATCATCTTTTATCCGCTTGCGCAATAGACGTCGTCGGGACAACACGGTGCGAAGCGAAAATGACATGAACGGTTCTACATGCTTTCGGTCCCTGCCTTTATAGATAATATACTTGACTGAGAACCAGAATACTGACGACTGCTACTCATTTGTTCTGTTACAGTTTCAAGTTGTTCAAGTCTTTCTCCTTTCAACGGCTGACTCGAGTATGAACGAATTGGTATGGCCCAGTTCCCCAAATAATAGAGACGAGCTGCTGGTGCATGCAGCAGAAGTACGTATTACCTACCGCTTCCCGTCCTGCTTAGGTAGCAAAAGGTTTGCATGTGGGTTAGGTTAAGTGAAGTTAGGTTAGGTTATTCTTATCTCATAAAACTTTATTTCCAGCACTAAACATGTTCATTACTTCATTCATAACACGCTCCGTCCTACGACGTCCTTATGACCCAATTCCCTGTGTACTACCAATGTGTTGCTGTTCCTGCCACTTGTCCTGACCTCGGCCTGACACCATTCTTCAACCGTTTTTCTCACTTAGCTCTCGTATAAATCCAGACTTTCACGACCTCTTATGAAGGTTGACGCAAGTCTTTCGTCCTTGGTCCACTATGTGGGAATGATTGATTACATGAGATGGTTTATGTGTTGACTATAAATACCTGCGTATAAACCTCGTCTTCGTCTCAACTTTCCCTATACAAAACCTTGAGTAAACTATCAGTAACGAAAAACAAGTTAAAAATCATCAAACATGGACCAACTCAAGAAAGCCGCCGACTCTGTCACCAACCAGGCGTAAGAATTCCCTACATTCCTACGACGAACAATTCTTGTACTTACACAAATACAAATAGCTCTTCCGCCTCCAACCAGGCCTCACAGGGCACTCGAAGCTCTACCGGTAATAAACAGGGCAACATGATGGACTCTGGTAAGTGTTCCCAACCAACTATAGCCATGGCACCTTTGACAGATACTAAGACAGAATAGTCTCGGATACACTCAACTCTGGCAAGAAGAACATTCCCAGCACCGGAAACAGAGATATCGACAACACTGTTAATGACCGGATGAAGAAATAAGGGAACCTCTTGGACATGGACAACTCTATATATATAAACAACCAGAAAACAAATGGCAGATAATCAGCATAGCCAAGAAAATCTATGAAACCAATATGCTCTTCCGCTCTGTTTCAAGTCAGTCAACTTGACCTTTTGTCTCTAAACCGCCGATTTGCACAAACATCGGTAAACCCAACCAGTGAACTGTACCACATTCCCATCAACAAACCTAGATCCTAAATCGGCCACACAAACAATCACACACATGACCGCAACACCAGCCAAACCAACACCACATCCATACGACCCGGTAATCTCCCAAAACACGTTCCCGAGCCAGAACCCCAGACTATGCAGGATCAACATGTGAACCAAATAAAGCGCAAACGAGATCCGGCCCAGATACTGCGCCAACCTCGTAGTAAAGATTCCCTGCAGGAATTCCGCTCTGTCGATGATGAGCACGAGTAAAACAGCAGCAAGAGGCTGCCAGAAACGATCCGCCGCACCGTCAGCATGGAAATGCTCAGGAACCAAAGCCGCCAGCCCCTTGAAGCCCCAAGCTTCCGCAGCGCCCCTTTCTCTCTCAGGCATACCGAGGACGAACAATGCGAGAATGAAACCCACCACAGCGCACAGACGCCCGAGGCGAGATATCGGACGCTTCATGCCGCTATCACGAACCGGTAGCGTCCCGTGTAATAAACCGGAAGGCATAGACGTAACTGCACCATCTCCTGGCTGCCAGCAAATAGACTTACCCCCCAGCGTCGAATCGACAACAACCATCCCACCAACAAAGAGAAACTCGGCCCAATGAAAAAGCCACCAAGAATAAACCGCAACACCCGTCTCCACCACCAACCTCGCCCTTCTCGTACACTTGGACAAAGCAACAAGAAGCCCGAAGACAACCAAGGAACTCCGAAACTCTACCGGCAGGGTCCACAACGAATCACTATATACCCAACCAACGCCCCCGTTTGAGTTATACACATCCGTCAACGTAATCAGACTTTTTCCATAATGCCACATTTGTCCCCAGATGGAATCAAACCGTGGCGGATCCATCGGTCTAATCGCAGCTCCTTTCATCCCACCACCACCACCACCACCAAACCCTCCCAGAAAAGCAATAATCGGAGCAGGGAAACACATGATGATTGCGGGTATGAATAATCTCGCATGTCTCCGAAAGATGGAAGATGCGAGACTTTGATACATTTCGAGAAATTTCCCTTCGCGAAGGATGGTGATGGGTTTGTAACTGAGCGCGTAGCCCGAGACGACGAAGAATAACATGACGTTTGCGGGGCCGGAGATGATTAGTCGGATGATGGGGAGTTGGATATAGGAGGAGGAAGGACCGTTGGCCCAGCCGTTGTGGATGGTCCAGGGGAACCAGAGGAGGGACATGTGGTGGAGGACTACGAAGAGGGAGGCGATTCCGCGGAGGCCGTCTACAATGTTGTTAGGTCTTAATGATAGAGGTGGGTGAGGTAGGTCAGGTACTAACCCAGCCAAGCCGTGGGACGAAGTCCCTTATCGGTGTGGAGGAAGCTGGGGAAAAGAGCGAGAACCCATCTAGGATTAAATCTCCTTCTTCTTAATACGTGGGGTAAACCATCAGTCGACGAAGATAGTTCCGTGTCCTCTTCATCTTCCTCTGCTTCTTCTTTCTCGAATTGTCCGGATTCGT